AAAATGAAGGGAAAAAGAATGAGTTTTTGTCTCACATTGATTTGGGAAGTGGATTTGCACCACTATTTATACAAGAGTCTTTCTAAGGCTTATTGAATTGTATAGTTTAGAGGCTCTCTCTCGCGTGTAGGGGGATGAAAATCAAATCATTAGTATGATACTTGCCATAGCTGTTTAGCGAGACTTGGAAGTTCGTCGAAATGGATTTATCGCTTTCTTAATAGACATGGAACGACTTGAGGGTTTTGTGGTTCCACGCCGTGGTACGAAAGTGTGTAATCAGCAAGGTTGCAAAAATCGCGCCTAGGTAATCGGCGCCTAGGCGCTAGGCGGTAGGAGGCCACCGCGGCCTCCTTCGCGGCCAGCGGCCGCCTAGACTGCCTAACCGGCCGGTTCGGCAGTTCGACGATTTTTTTTTTTTTTTTTTTTTTTTTGAAAATGTCGGAAAAGTTTCGGAAGGCATAACTTTTGACTCGGTTGTCCGATTTGGACACTTTTTTTTTCAAATCGCGTATTTTTTCGACAATTTTTGGTCCACTAATTTCTCAAAAAAATCCTTCTTTAGCTCTTAATTTTAGTTTTTTATGTATTTAGATGGTTTAAACAATCTTTTGAACAATTTTACAACCACTTTTGTAAATAGTTTCTAAGAAATAACTATGGAAACCTTATATTTTAGTACTAAATTTTGAAAATTTTTAATTTTAATTTTTTTTAATTAAAAAAAAAAATCGGCGCCTAGGCGCCTAGCGTTTTTTGCAACATTGGTAATCAGTAAGATCATTGTATGGTTCGAAACAAATGTGAGGTTTGATCATGCAATGAGGACCAACGAGTTTACTATAAACGAAAGTGGAAAGTGTGTCTACTTAAGGCGTACGATAGACGGTGATATCACTGTTTGTTTATACACACCATAAACTCATTGTGGGTAACTGTTTGTTTATACACACGATAAACTCATTGTGGGTAGTAACGATCAAATGATCAAGTCTACTAGGAACATGTTAAATTTGAGATTTGACATGAAGGGCACTCATTGTGGGTAGTAACGATCAAATGATCAAGTCTACCAGGAACATGTTAAATTTGAGATTTGACATGAAGGCCATGAGTTTGGCAGATTTAATCTTCGAGATTAAAATTGTTAGAAGATCGGATGGTTTGTGGTAAGCCAATCTCATTGTGTTGATTGAATCCTTGTTAAGGATGATAATCAAGTGGCTTGGACACCGTTAGATACTAACATACAACTAGCCAATAATCACGAAGATTGTATTTCTCAAGGAGAATACATTCAGATTATTGGTAGTTTAATTGTATCTAGTGGGTTGTACTAGGCCGGATATTGCCTTTGCGGTTAACGAACTCGGTAGACATACGAGTAACCCTAGTTATACGCATTAGGAGGCAATAGTGAGAGTTATGAGATACTTAAGGTATGCTCGTGACTTTGGACTGCACTATATGGGATATCTAGCCGTACTTGGAAAGTAGCACGTTAACCGGATATCAAAGGATGCTAAGTCCATTAAAGGCTACGTGTTTACGTAGGTCAGTGCAGTTGGTTGTATGGAAATTCTCGAAACGATCTGTGATAGCTAAGATCCATGATGGAATCTAAGCTGAGAGCCTTAGACATGTGTCGCGGAAAGGCTGAATGGCAACGCCATTTGTTCGAGGATATTCCTATTTAGGAAACTCGTACCTCCAATTTGTGTGCATTGCGATAGTCAAGCCAAAATTGGTTAAGTACGGAGTTAGATGTGCAATGGTAAGTCTAGACTTATAAGTCGTAGACATAATACCATTAAACAATTTCTCACAACTAGTGTTGTATCTGTTGACTAGTGATGTCAAAGGATAACGTAGCGGCCGCTAACTCACTAACTTGAGGGTAAACAAATGGTTGTTGAGAAGTTGAAACAAGGAATGGGTCTAAAGGCCTTGGTATAAAAGTTATATAGTGGATACCCAACCTAGCTGGCACCTAGGTTCAATGAGACAACTAAATTATGGAACGAAGTGGGTCACTGTAGGGGTCTCGGACTCCCTACCACTCCTCGTTAAAACAGTGACTCCCGCACGAGGTTAGCACATTGATGCTTTAATGATTTGAATGTCAGTTGACATGTGTGAGTATGCGGGATACTCGAAAAAGAATCACCTATGTAAGAGAGAAGTGAAGGTCGCTTCAAAGGAGAATTGATGGGCACAATTCTTCACAAACTCTTGCAGAACAAGGAAGGTGACCCACGACCAAAACGGGCACAGTCATGAGAATAGAGCATGGTTGGGAGGTTTCTGTGTGAGATATGTCATCGTCTACACAAATAGCAGTCGGTTCAAAGACATCGCGTTCTACCGTACAGCCAGTAGAGTAAACATATCTTCACAAGGGAAGGTTCAAAGGGCAACACCTACCTATCCGATGCAGGGATCGACCGTTGAACACAGTTGTTTCCGATTTCAAAATACCATGAAAATCAATTTTTCATTCATGTAGGGGATTGTTGGAAAAATAGCATTGAAATGACATTTTAAGTGGCTATTTTGTGGTACAATTATCAGTGGGGTCCACTTCCGATTTGGGTCGGGTCAAAGTGGATTCAGGTTCTTCGTAGTGAGACGAAGAGATTGATATATTGTACGCTCAAAACGGATAATGGGTGAATGAGATATTGATTCTCAAAGTAGACCCATTGAGTTGGAAAAATGAAGGGAAAAAAGAATGAGCTTTTGTCCCACATTGGTTTGGGAAGTGGATTTGCACCACTATTTATACAAGAATCTTTTTAAGGCTTATTGAATTGTATGGCATAGAGGCTCTCTCTTTTGTGCAGGGGGCGGGGTGAAAATCAAATCTCAAACTGAGCCTGAAAGGGCTTGATTCAGGCTTGAACTCATGTATGTCGTTCACTGGGTGGTTACCAGACCCAGAATTGTTTGCGTTATAAACGTTTTGAACTGATTTAATATCAGTGTTAATGCTAGTTTTGAATGCCATTTAACCTTCAAATCCTATATAAGCTTGAGTTGAGCATGTGGTTTTAGTGAACAAAAGTAGCCAAAAAGGACACAACACACACAACAGATTTTCTGCTCCCAAAACTCTACTCCTACTCCTTCTTGTCGACTGTGTTCTGCTCATGCTCTTGTTCGTCGGGTTCTTCGTTTGGGTGGTCAAACGTTGAACCGTAGTACGTTTTATCCTAGGAAACCTAGCTTACAACGCTCCTAGCAGTTTTGGGAAGTAGCAAATAAGGTTTTAAGGAAAGAGTGTTTCGCTCGACTCGTACTAACCATCTTTCTACATCCTCATTTCTTGTTGGTTGGAATTATAATCTGGAGGATTATAAATTCCATTTTGGTTGATATATATATATATATATATATATATATATATATATATATATATATATATATATATATATATATATATATATATATATATATATATATATATATATATATATATATATATATATTATTTTTGGTAAATCGACTTGGTTCATTATTTTCCAACAGGGATATGATATAGTTTGGGATCTTCAAACAAATCAATTAAAGGTCCGATGAATTTGTATTTTAATACAAAGGAGCACCAAAGTTTGAAAATGTCAAAAGGCGGTGAGCAAGTAACATTGGAGGCATGCAAAAAGGAGTTGATGAAGAGGGCTATGGTGCAATTTTCACGGTGGATGTATGAGGTCGGACTACCATTTAATTGTATTCAATACACTATAAGCTTACAAGGCTTTATTGAGTGTGTTGCACAACATGGGCCGGGAATAAAGCCACCTTCCTATCATGAAGTTAGAGTGTCATATCTTAAGAAAGAGGTTGAGCATGTTAAGGAGTTGTTCAAGCCACATGAGGAGACATGCAATGCATATGGTTGTTCTTTGATGATGGACACGTGGACAGATATGAGAGGTCGTGCATTTATAAATGTCCAAGTTAATTGTTGATGCTCAAGTCGGTAGATGTTAGCAAGGACACGGTTGATGCTAACAAAATGCTAGAGCTCTTTGACACTTTTGTCAATCAAGTGGGGAAGGATAAAGTTGTGCAAGTCATATCTGACAATGTTTTAGAGAATGTGAGAGTTGGTATGTTTAAAATATTTATTTTTTTATCCTTTATATTAAGAATTTAAGATTTTTAAATTTTAAATTTTTTTACCTATTAATTCTTTATATAATTTAGGCAAAGATTAATGGAGTTGTACCCGACTTTGTATTGGACGCCATGCATTGCCCATTGCATCAATTTGATGTTTAAAGACATCTTTGAGATTTGCCATTTTGCAATGGCATACAAGCAGGCTTTGAAATTGTCGGTGTATATCCATTCGAAGACAAAGCTTTTGAATTGGTTGAGGAAAGTATACCGGAAAGCGTGATTTGGTCAAGTTTGCTAAGACTCGGTTTGCTACAGTAAAACATTGACATTCAAGAGGCTTCACGAGCAGAAGAACAATTTGAGGAAATTGTTCAACTCAGAAGAATTCCTCACTAGCTCTTACTTCAAAGAAGAGACAAGAAAAGAGTGTTCTAGAATTGTGCAAATGTCAAACTTTTGGAATACAATTATAGAGGCACTTAAAATAGGCGGTTCATTGATTAGCACCCTTCGGTTAGTTGATGGGGATGTTAAGCCATCAATGGGCTATATTTATCCTATGATGGAGATCACAAAGCAAGAAATTGAAAAAACTTTGAACAACAACTCAAGCAAGTACAAGAAGGTGTTTGATATCATAGACAAAAGGTGGACTTCCCAGCTTCGTCAACCATTGCATGCAGCTGTGTATTACTTGAATCTAGATTACTTCCAGTATAGGGGTGAGCCACAGGTTTCTCCTACAATTCATTCGGAAGAAGTTGTTGCTGGCTTTTATTCTTGTTTGGAGAGGTTGGTTCGAGATCAAGATCTGCATGACAAAATTACCGAGGAAGTATCTATGTGGGAAATTGGGTATGGTTTATTTGGCTTGCCAGTTGCCAAGAAGGAACGTGGTTCTAGAGCTCTAGGTTTTTACTTATTAGACAATTTAACAATTTTTATTTATAATCAAACTTTGAATAATTTTCAAATTTTACAGTTGATTGGTGGACTTCTTTTGGGGGTTCAACTCCCCATTTGAAAGAATTCGCAATTAAGATTCTTAGTCTCACGACTAGTGCGTCTGGATGTGAACGGAACTGGAGTGTCTTTGAGCATGTAAGTTAGTCAATTTAGAAGTAATTAGCAATTATAACATATTTATGCACTAATTCATTTTAAATATTCCAGTTGCATTAAAAAAGGATGAGTCGCCTTGAACACATGTGCCTTAATGATTTGATTTTTCATTAAGTATAATAGGGCATTGAGGCGACGATAGGAAATGAGGGATACCATTGATCCAATTAGTTTGGATTAAATTAATTTTGCCAATGAATGGTTGAGAGGTATCCCGGAGGATGCAAATGAGGAGTTGGTGTTTGGTGATGGGGATGGCTTGACTTGGGGTGACATTATTAAATTTTCGTGTGCAAATGAAACTCCTTATTCTCTTAGGCGTGCTTCAAAAGGAAAAGAAAAAGTTGGGAGTTCAACTTCAAGGTTTAAGGGAAAGGAAAAGATTTCCGAGTATAGACTAGTTAATTAAGATGAAGATGAAGATGAAAATGATGTATAAGCACTTGAGGATGATGGAGTTATGCATTTTGACAATTTGAATTTGTGAGGAAGAAGATGAGTTTGATATGGACGATTGAATGACTTTGAATGATTGTGTTGTGACTTTATGATATTGTGTTGTTATGATGTTTGTATTATTATGATGTTGTGATTTTAGGAGTTTTTTTTTTAATGTTATTTTGCATAATTATTTGAATATTTGGAGTTTTTGACTATATATATATATATATATATATATATATATATATATATATATATATATATATATATATATATATATATATATAGTGACGCTTTTCATGAAAAAATGACGCTTCGCTTTGCGCTTTCGCTTTAAAGCAAAGCCCGGGTTTGTCGCTTTAGTGCACTTTTTCACTTTAAAAAGTTTGGATAAAATGGGATTAGCACAACGAAGTTTACCTTTTCGAAGGGCAATAGGAATATCCGTATCCGTTGATGAAGATTCTGGTAAGGGAGGATTCATTGGTGGTATTGGTGGGGCTGAGTGTGTTTCAACCTCTCTCGGCCGCCTGTGATAAACCTATGTAACAGGCCCTAGTCTCAACCCCTCCTATAGAGTGAGGAATAGTCACAGTGTACGTAAGGAAATCAACTTCAATCGATGGTAGTCTATGTGATACTACAACACAAAATCATGTCTACGGTGTATTTCAAACATCACTCTCTACCCCATTGAGTATAGTTTCTCATGATTAGGCTGCAAGTATTTTTTTGTATTGTTTTTTTTTTTTTTTTTGTAAAATTAATTGTTAATTTTTTTTATTATCATTTGTAGACCGTATATTAGTTAGTTCATCAATCTAAAACATATATCATGTGTCGTCAAACAATGGATCATCTACAAGTAGGTATATTCAGAATTGTAAGCGTATACCACTGGCTGATGTAAATAATAGTAAGTTTGTGTATTACACTAAAATAAATAAATTGTATTGGATTATTAAACATCAATTATTGTAAATACAAAGTGACTAATTGTTTAACTTTTTTTCGAATGATTTTTTTGCAGAGCAAAGTCAATTATTTATTGGCAACAACATTAATACACCTTGATTGCTGTAATTTGGGGCAAACAAATAATACCCGGAGTATTCGGGTTGTCGAACCACAGAGAGGTGGTGTACTAATTACTAGCTACTAGGTTACTCATATGAAACTAGTCCGAACAAAACTTGAAGGTTGATTGATTGCATAAAATAACAAGCAGAATAAAATAAGTAGCAAGGTTTTGTAGACAATAGAGCAAAATAGGATTCTTGGGATCACAATGTTTAATCACCTAGTTCCAATTAACGTTTGTAATATTTGGTTTGGAATTAAGATTTGTATGGGAATGCAAAGTGGAATCGAATTACTCCCGTAATCTCTATTTCTAGTGAATTTCCACTCCCATGGCTTAAACACCCAATAAGATCAAAGATCAGCATTCAATTATTCCTAATTACTACCATCTCCCGATGAGCAATAATCTAGAATAAACTTCCCCTTTCCCAAGGACCAACCATTAGGTGCAATCGTGTGTGCCCTAATTTATGCCCCAACTCCCATTGGTGACACAAACATGACTGTGAAGCTAGTAATTTAGGCCTTTAACTACCAACAACAACAGATTAAAACAAGATTGCAACACAAATCATAAAACCAAACATAAATATATTAGGAAATTAACGAACTAGGCACATAGGTTCATAAACAAATTCACCCAAAAATCCCTAAGGAATTTAGCCGAGCATGGCTAAATTATACATAGCAAATATGAATAAAGGATTACAAATCATCAGAAGAGTACAAGAATTAACCAAGCGATTCTCCCAAATCTCCCTGGCTTCCTCCTTGCTTCCAAAGACGACTTGAGCCTCTTGATTTCTCTCTTTCTTGTCTACAAAGAACTCTAAAAATCTCTCGGTCTCTTTTTTAGGGTTGAGGAAGGAGGGATTTTATAGTGGGTACAAAGTTGAGATGAAATAGGAATCTTGTACAAAATTGGACTCAAATTATAATTCCTATATTTTAAATAAAGAATTGCCGTCCCACTTAATTGGAATCTTAACTTTGGAATTGAAGTTAAATTGAGATTTGGAATTGAGGTGTGAAATTGGAATAAAGAATTGAGGTTGGAATTGGAATAAAGAATTGAGGTTGGAATTGGAAAACATTGCAGCCGCTAATCCTTTTGCATGTCGCGTCTTCGCTCGACGCGTCGAGCTGAGTCTCGACGCGTCGAGACCATCAGGTCCCGATCACCAAACTTTCTGGAAATTTTCGACGCGTCGAGTTCTCTGGGCCCCGAACTAGTCCAAAATTGCTCCAAACTCATCCTTGAACTTCCCTTGCTTATGGAATTGACCTTCAATGGTTCAAAAACACTAACAAACACCGTAAAACATTCAAAACAAGTGTGAACCATAATTAAATGATATGAGCAAGGAAAACATGTATTAAATAAGTAAAATTAAAGAACTTAATTACCGAGATGATTCAAAATAACTATAAAAAACAAGCACGGATGTGATAACATCACCCCCTCACACTTAGGCTTTTGCTTGTCCTCAAGCAAAACTAAGGAATAAAATCACAAATCAAAACATACAAATTACTCATGCTCTCTCTTGCACAACCTTTCAAACCACCAACCCACTTGCTACAAAACAACAAGCTTCAAGAATCAAATTAGTTTGGCACATAAGAGACCCATTTCCAAGCCAATAACCAAGCACCAAGAATTTAATGCATGTGAGGATCAAATGTGCACAAATACTCAGTTGAGATTATGCAAGATACGGTTCATGAATGAGATCCCTTAGGCTTGCCTTTCATACTCCCCTAGATCAAATCTAAGAATGCATGCTAAGATCAAATAGGACTTTATTTAGCTTGTAATGGGGTTACGGGTGATGGCTAACAAAGAAGTGGTATGGAAAAATTAATCAAAAAGAGAGAATGTCACAATTTATCTAAACTTTTCAAAATTTGGAAGAGATGAGATAATCATAATTCCAAGGAGCAAATTTCTTTTAAGAACTTAGCAACTCTTAGGTAAAGTGGGGATCCAAACTCAAAAACTTTCAGTCTCTTTTTTTTCTTTTTTTTTTTTTCTTTTTTTTTTTTTTTTGGACTTCTTTTGGATATAGCAAGATAATTTTAATCCAAACTTTCATGACCCCCACACTTGAACATTTGTAACACTAGCTGCTTTTTTTTTTTTTTTCGTAGCACAACTCCATAAAACTCTTCTTACGGAAAAGATTAAAGATAAAAGTTCCATTCTCTCAAGGGTGGAAGGGAAATATTTGGCCAAGGGCTAAGGGTTATAATAATGGGGTAAATCAAAGAAAAACAATCACAAAGAGGGGATAAGTGCTTAGCACTTATTTGAACAAACAAAAGGCACAATGGGGAAACGAAGGATAAAAATATATATATATGGACAGGTTTAAAGGCTATGGCTAAACAATAATGGCCTAAATCACTTCAAAACATGCAAAACTTAGACATCACTTAGGGAGTAATGAGGCAAGTTCTAGCAAAAACACCCATGACCGGAATCTCACATAAGCCTTCACTAGCAATGCAAAACACAAGATCAAGGATTAATCCAATTATTAAGTGGTTAACAAAGCTATTGGCAAGGGAATAGATCAAATATGTGTTACACCTCAAATCATCCATCACAAATTGAGATGCTGCAAGCACCACTAAAACAAACCACAAACCAACAAGAGAGAGTAATTGTAACTGCATGCTAAGACAAGTAACTTATTCACCAAAAATAGCATATGAGTCATCCAAGCAAAAGCAAAAATTTATTTAAAATTTTAGAAATATCCCCAAATTAATGATTCCTCCCCCTCACACTTAAAACTTTGCATCGTCCCTGATGCAACATAAAAGAAAAGTAGAACAAGAGAAAAGAGAAAACTAATAATCACGAACTAGAAAGCAATAAATATGAAATAAATAAAAGATAACATGGGGTGCCTCCCATGAAGCGCTAAGTTTAACGTCGCTAGCTCGACCTAACCTGGTTATGGAGTGCTCATCCTGGTTGATCCGCGAGTTTGATCTCATCACCCCATAGACTCTTCAAATGCAGATATTCATCATGTGTCACCTTGAGAGTAGGATCGATGTGCAAGATTGACTTGCATTCAATGATTTTTGGCTCATCAAGAACATTAAATTCCACTTTTTCCTCCCCAAAGTCAAAAATCATGGACCCTTTCCTTGCATCAATCATTGCTCCAATAGTGGCTAGGAAGGGTCTCCCCAAAATGAGTGGAACGTCTAAGTTCCTTTGGACATCTATCACAATAAAATCACAAGTCACAAAATACTTGTCCACACGAACTGGGACATCTTCAAGGATTCCAATAGGCTTTACGATGGATCTATCTGCCATTTCTAGGGTGAATTGGATTGGTTTTGGCTCTCCCAACCCTAACCCTTGACAAAGAGTAAGAGGCATAACACTCACACTGGCTCCTAAATCACAAAGGGATCCCTTTAACGGTCGGCCTCCAATCACACAAGGAATTGTGAACTTTCCCGGATCTCTATGCTTAGGTATATTCCTCCCAATTCCCGGGGTCAACGCTTGATACTCTTGTGCCACAGCTACCATCTCT